AAAAAAAAAACACAACTCTGTCAAACAGGATTTTCATTAAGGGTCAGGGATCAGAGAATGTGGATAGAGGTAGCATCTCCAGACAACAGTCAGTAGATAGGGGGGGGGGGGGGGGGGGGGGGGGGGGGAGCATTTAAGCATTGCATGTCTCCACACCACCCCTGTATAACAAATAATATGACTTGCTTTAACAATCATAATATTCTTAATTACAAACATCAAAACTGTTTTGTCCACTTTGCTCTTTATAGGGAATGTGCATATTGATTTTGACTGGTATGGACACTCAATAAGACAACTTCTAATAATTTGTTCAGCAAGTATGATTCTACATGAGTTCAAAGAGTCTTTAAAATCTGCTGACCAAAACCTGGATATTCCACACATTTTCTGTGGGGATTTCAACATAGAACCACAATTCCCTGCCTATAAATTGCTCAGCTCTGGCAGACTAGATAAAGATGATCTGGAAAAGCTAGAAACCACTGATTATATAAAATACTATGAAAGTATTTGGATACCACCACCAGAAACAAACAAGGTATAATCTTTCTTTTTTCATATACTAAGCAGGGGCGGATCCAGGATTTTGTTCAGGGAGGGGTGCTGCGCACAAAGTTAACCCAGGGAGAGGTGCACACCTTAGAATCAAAGGAAAAAAACAGTATTGGTTATCTTTGAAGTAGGGGTACAAAGTCGAACCAGGGAGGGGTGTACACCCCCTGCACCCCTCCCCTGGATCTGCCCCTGCTAAGCCAGAGCTGATGTGCATAATTAATTTTAATTTTTGTTTTAGATTTCAGAGAAAGAAAAGGCAATTTTGTGTCACTTAAACAAGTATTTTGTGAATCCTTTGAAAACAGTAAAAAGTTCATACAAAACAGTTCTGGTATGTAGTATCAAATTTGTTAACTATTCTCCTCTCCTCTCCTCTCCTCTCCTCTCCTCTCCTCTCCTCTCACCCCTCCTCACCCATTCCTCTCCTCTCCTCTTTTACTCTGATAAGTTTGGGATTCTAATTTCAAATTCATTTTTACCTTATTTTAGGGTAGAGAACCAGAAGTAACCAATCACGAAGGTGGAAAGAACTACTGGATACTGGACTACCTGTGGTATTCCTCAGATTCCCTGTGTCCTACATGTGTATTGGATGTGGTACCACTCTCTCTAGTAAAAAGTGTAGTTGGTTTACCGAATGAGTTCTTCCCTTCAGATCACCTCTCTCTAAAAGCCTCTTATCATTTTGTAAATTAGAGAATTACAGTCAACTAATTACAGTCTCGAGTAATGTACAGCAACCAATCTGAGCAAGAGAAAATGAATTAAGAGAAGGAATTCGAAACTCTGGTATTCATGCTTGTAACCATGAATACCAGAGATTACTTTTTGTAGTTCATTTCAGGGGCGGATCCAGGAATTTGTTCAGGGAGGGGTGCACTGCACAAAGTTAACCCAGGGAGGGGTGCACCCCTTAGAATCAAAGGGAAAAAACATTATTTTGCATTGGTTATCTTCGAAGTAGGGGCACAGAGTTGAACCAGGGAGGGGTGCGCACCCCCTGCACCCCTCCCTTGGATCTGCCACTGCATTTTATCTTTCTTGGATTTGGAATATAAGCACCATTTGATACTATTTTAAGAATCACATTAGCCATTTCTTGTTTTTGTGCATGAGCGTACTGAGCCCTCTACACTGTTTGCTCACAATTTGTTTTCATTTAAGTAAAAGAAGTCATTAACAAAGATTTTTTAAGTGTTCGTACGAAAAGGGTTTTACATCTTTTATTATTGAAATAAAATTAGGCAAAGAAAGTGTAACACTTGCCAATCACAACTAATATAATAAACTTTTGACCCTTTAAGTTTTATTTTGTCATCCAAGCCACGGCGGGGGTCTAATCATTTGAGCATATTTCTGTTGGTCGTTTTGACAAAACTGCTCGATTTAAGGGGGTAGGGTCACGTGACCTGTTAGTCAAAGTCGCCCATTTGATCAAAAAACTAAAAACATACACTGATCTCTGAATCTTTAATGCATAATATTATTCAGGTGGTCAAAATCACCCTTGTCAAGACAAATCCACATTTACAGTAACGTATGTGACCAATATCTCTATCAATAGTTTTATCCCTTAATTTCTACATTAACATCTATACATCTGTTAGGCTTTCCCGGTAAGAAGTTCCACAAGGCTAGTTACTATGGTACCGAAGTGTGCGTCGTCAATTTCCACATTTTGCATACGTTTTCTCTTTGCACTGGATTCAATCACGTTAGATCCAGTACCAAATAAATTCATGGCCATATTCATTGCATTATATTACTTATTTCTCAGCTGTTTTTCTCTTTATTACACAATTATATCGTAGTTTTAATACGTTCAGTTTCACAAAAACCAAAAAAAGAATTCAAAAATAATTTTGTGCATTTGCTTCGTAACCCCGGCTATTGGTCGAGAAACCTATCGAGGAACATCGTAATACTAACCTTTCAGATAGAAACGTACCTTGTCTAGACCTAGTAAACCTTTCTCGTGATTTCTCTGATGTTTGACAGCTTTATATACCCCCTGCATTGCTTTCCAAGAGAAATTGTTCTGGGGAACAATGAAATAGGCCCTCTTTGCTTATGTAAAAAAATCCATTGTTTTGTCCCCCAAAACAATTCCTCTCGGGACTCTGTGTAAGGTGAATTTACCCATTTTTATCAACTGTCAGCTTTGTATCTACTTTCGGCTAGAGATTCTATAATGCTCACATTTAAAAGATTTAGTAAATGAATTCATATTTACAATAAATAATATTCTTTGTCGACAATGAAACCGCCTTATGCCTCGCTATGACGGTCTGTATCGCTTGTATTAGTGTAATAATCGTGGTAAAAACAATGCGCCATTGAGCTTCAGCCTCTGTCTTTTACAGTGGGCACAAAACATTCGGAGAAAATAAATCTTGAAGTAAAAACATTTTTAATTAGTAACAGTTGAGCTTCAGCTGCACCAAATAACTATGCTTTTTAACTCACTAAAAAGTCAAAGCCTGTAAATAATGTCTGTCGCAGTTTTTTTTCCTTTAGTACACTACACACGAAGCAACTTCTGCGCACAACAACCATGCATCCAGGGCAATTTTGGGGGTGTTCAAACTTTCTCTACAACGAGACAATACACCCCTTTCCTAGAGGAATTGTTTTGGGGACAAATAATAGGCCGTCTTTTCTTGGCAAAAAAATCTATTGTTTGGTCCCCCAGAACAATTCCTCTCGGAACTCATTGCAGGGGTTCTAAAATCTGCGACACCAATTTCATTCTCAGAACCTGCGTTACTCTTGGTGTGTTGACCAAGTTTCTGAGGATGAGATTGTTCTCCGATACGTTATGCCGTCGATGAATCTCCGCGCAACTGTTCGGTCGAATCCAGAACGAATTAGCCAATCAGCGAGCATTTTGTTCGTAGCTCAATCTTTCCTAGTTCCAGGTTTTCAGCTCGACAAACAACACCTTTTACTCAAAAATAAAGAAAATAAAACTTCCGCGGAAAGATCATTTACCAAATATCTTTTTGATTTGTATTTTTCCTGTTGTTGTTGGTGGAACATGTTTCGTTTTGAAAAGAGATGAAAGAAAATACTAGTAAATTTTCGCGGTGACAAACAATGCATTGCGTGCCTAGATTTCAAGTAGCTTAGATTCTAAGTAATCTGGATGCCACGCATGCGCAGTGAATTGCAGCCTGTGAGCTAGCCTACAAAGACACTAACAAAATAGTGCCGCTATATATTTTAACATAGATGTGTGGCAAAAGCCATTACTGTGGACTATCCTTATGGATACATAAGTATATTTCGTAAATTGATTATATCTCTATAAGTATATTAAGATATTATTTATTATGTACATTAATATTTACAAATATTTGATCCAATGGTTTCTATCTTTCGCTTGCTACAAATCCGATTCGTAGTTTTGAAATAGAGATGTTTCGTTGACCTTCACTTGTCTTTGTACATCAATGCAGCATCATTTTCCCTTACTCCTAGCCCGAAACCCTCGTTAATATTGATTATTTGTTTTAGCTAATATCCTATTGTATTTTTGAGGCACCCAGGCGGCGAAGACAGACCACTTCAAAGACGACGGCCACGTGTACCTGATACGGTCTCAAGTCGAATGATCACCTGGATCTCTAGCTTTAAGACAGTACAAAAGGGTTCCCAGAATCAAGGCTGATTGGGTCAGTGTTCTCTGCACGTTGTATTTGATCACCATTTTCATTATCACAGCTTGCTCCCAGCTTGTGTTTAAGGTATCACGGCATGTTTCCAGCTAATTTGCCATAATTGAGCTAATTATATCTATCTCAATGTGTTAAACCTAATCAGTTCGATTAACACGTCTCAGGAGTCACGTGGAATTGGCAGAACACACAGTTACCTGTAATGGCGTTTTAATTTGATTTTTGTTGTCTGATTTATTCATAATTGACTAATAGTAGACTTACCCACCGCTGCGACTGAGTCTTTGATAACTTCCGAAATATTCAAGCCATTTAACCACAGAAGTGTTCGGCTCTCATTCTTGTTTATCGATGCATGGTCTAAGCATGGTGATAAGTTCTTCAATTCCTCGTTGTTAAACAATAGAATTGTGAAGATTATTTTCTATGGATTCCCAATCCATTTTCGCACATTCGAATAAAACTGGAATAGCATTCTCGGATACCAAGGTATTTCGTCTTCTGTGTTGAAAAAGTTTGGGAAAATTCTCGCCAGAAATCGCACGGGGAACATTGTCCAGTGCGAAATGGTTTCACTAGGAAAAACAGCATAGCATGACACGACTATATCCTCCACAAGGATGTTGCCAGTTTCAGTGAGGGGTGCAAATACTCCTGATAATTCACTCGCGCTTATAGAAGTTATTCGTCGCATACCGACGCTGTGATCATGAGGGTGTGAGGTATTCCGTATATATATGTAGTCTCCAACTGCTAATTGGTTAGCATATACCACACTTGCCTGCTGTGTTTGTTGGTTTAATCTATAGATCAAATGGGTCGGTGTGATTACGAGTTTTTTGTCGTTGTGGTTCAGGGTACTGATGATCAAATACTTGCTTCGTAGGTTTAGATTTCGGTGGAAAAACATAATCACTGGATTGTAGGTGATTTTTCCATGATCATCTAAGGTCGCCACCCGATCTCCTATCTTTAAGTCCTTCATCAAGACTGTCATTCCACTCTGTAACCGGACTGAAGAATTGGAATGGAAGCATCCGGTTTGGGCTGGTTTGGTTTCCAAGTCAGGTCCTGTTCAAAAAGGAAAATATTTAATGAATCATAGTAAAATGTATATAGGTCTAGAAAAATCCCCTCATTTTATATTTTATCAAATCCCGAATCCCTCTCTAGGCTGAACAAAGTCCGGTCAACTTACAACTAACTTACAGCTAGATTGAACCCTGAAACAACCTTTGGGTTGATCCGAAAGTCAGGGCATGACAAACTCACGGATTGAACCCTTAAACAACCTCTGGGCTGATCAAAGTCCGGGCACGGCTAACTTACAGCTAAATTGAAAAACAACCTTTGGATTGATCCGAAAGTCAGGGCATGGCAAACTCACGGATTGAACCCTTATACAACCTCTGGGCTGATCTGAGTCAGGGCACGGCCGGTGTGAATAACAACATCGTATCTAAGGCTTTCCTAATCCTAACCCCCCTCCCCCTTGCATAAACTATATACTACACTATTCTAGATAATTTAATAAGCCTGCTTTCAAGGTCATACCAATTGCTCTCACGGACGCATGAATGTAGTTTTTACTTGAGTATGAAACCCAGTCAAACCCGGCATTAACTGCAAGACGTCCAAGTATCGGGTACTTCTTTTGGTCCAAGTCTGATGTTTGAATGTCTATGGCTCGTCCTTCATAATGTAGAGTAAGAGGGTGTCTCCTTTTTCTCTTCTCTTTGCCAGCATAGTACGCCTTTATCACTCTAACTTTGACCCTACCGTCCCATTGTCTTATGACCCCACGAATCAGGTTTTTCAACTTCTCCGCGCAACGCTATGAAAAGAATAGAAGAAGGAAGTTGTCAGTAGGGGAGGTAATGGATGGATGGATGGATGGCTGGCTGGATAGACGGATGGATGGATGGATGGATGGATGGA